GCACAATGGTCTGTCCAAGAAAGTCAAGTAGAGAAATTTTTCAGATTGATATTGTTGCACTCTAGATTTTACCTTATTGCTTTGACCAATTTCATCCTGATTTTAGATAAGCTTGGCTATTGGCTTCTTGTTTCTTGGGGGAGGTATGCGCACATTTTCTACTAGCAACAGCTCAATTGCTGCTTTGCTGATTACCCTGTATCCACGTTTGCCTGCTGGACCAAATGATAATCGTTGCCATCTTCAGGTAATTAGAGTAGTTTATTACTGAAGTTGCGTAGTATTCTCTAGAAATTACAAAATCATGTTATGGTATATTTTTTCTCTAAAAATGCTTGACTTGAAGACCTGTGCACGTTAAATTGCATTTTGTGTCACTTGAAGACTTGTACATGTTAAATTGCATTTTGTGTCAAAAGCTTTCGGGCCCAACTTTTGCATATGACTTGCAAATTTCCATCTGTGGTGCTATTTTTAGCGTTTCATTAAACCCCAGTTTTCCTGCTGTTCTTGACTGAAAAATGTGAATTTTACTGTTTGTCACATTATCAAGTGATTTTTCATGAATTGATGGTCTTCTCCAGGCATTCAGGCATTTTTATGTTCTAGCCACAGAAGGTCGCTGGATTCAGACAATTGATGTTGACACTGGTTTGCCTGTTTATGCTCCTCTTGAGGTCACTATAAAGGAGAGCGAAAATTACTCGGAAACTAGTTTTTGTGAAATTACCCCTTGTATTCTACCAGAGCGTTCTATTGTAAGTAGTTCTAAAACTTGACCTCTTCAATAAAGGTAACTGTTTTGTTTTTGCTCTCCCTCATCAGACATGATGTTAGGGCCGAACATGCCACTTCATGCTTCTCGTGGCCTTATACTTTTCCTAGAGTCTAGTATCATCTAGTATCAGATGAATATTGCATAGTTTGCCAAGCTTTTCATTTGCTGCAATTGTTATAGTGGATATCATTGTGGCAGTTTCTGTAGAGCAGGTTTATAATTCCTAAACACCATTGGAAAGCCTTGAAATAATTTGTGATTCCTGTCTGTTTCTTCAAAACGCCCCCAAAAAAAGGATAGAAAAATAGGTGATTTCTGTCTGATCCTCTGTGCTCATTCATATCTAGGAAATCCGTAGCTTATCAGTCTGTTTAACTTTTTTCATTGCAGTTGAAATCTGTCCGTGTTTGTGGCCCTCGATATTGGACTCAAGTCATAAACATTGTACCTGAAGGTGGCCAAATACTGCTCTGTAATTTCTCTTGTTTGTTTTCTCTAGTGAATTCTCGTGTCTCATGATTTATTTTCTATTAACTTATAGAGAAACCATGGTGGACTCATGGTGCGAAGAATGACCCGTTCAATTCGGGGACCCTCTACATTAAACGAAAGGTTGGAGCTTGTTCATACGTGGATGATCCCATAGGGTGTCAGTCGCTGTTATCTCAAGCAATGCACAAGGTCATCAAATCATTTTCTGCCCTTCCATTCCCTTCACGTGCATTGAGCTCTGTCTGGCATCAAGCTGCCTTTTTCTGATGTAGGTTTTTGGTATGACCAATTTGAGAGCAAGTAGCGGGAATACTGCTGGAAATTATATCTTGGTTGATCAGTTAGTCAGTACGTTCTCATCAGTGCCCAGTTTGATTGCTTTTGCTCAGCTCTGCCGTGACCCATCTTGGAATAGCAGGTAAGTGTGCGGCTTTCCATTCAGATGATCCCAAATTTTAAAAACAAAAAAGCAAAAAGAGAAAAACAGTAATATGACTTTGGTGTTACGGTGGCAATAGTAAATTGGGGATCAGCATTGTTCACCCAAAAGTCCATTCTGCGTTTGATCCTTAAGCCATGCATCATACTAGTCTTATCTATTCTAATCAGTTACAATGTCTTCTGCAGACCAGATGTTGATTTCCAAGAGTTTTGTCTGCAAGTTCTATTTGAATGTGTGAGCAAGGACAGACCAGCCCTTTTGCAGGTAGTAACTTACCTTGGGAAATTCACCTTAAAAAGAGTTACCTCAGAAGAAAAAGTTAATTGTGACTACATTCATAGATGGTTGATTTCGTGACTGGGTTAAATGGAGTGCATCAGAGGGCAAATGTGATTTGCCTTCGATAGCTGTATTTTTTAATTTTTTTTTGGTCTGATTCGATAGTTGTAGTTTCAAAGCAGTGTTTAGAGCTTTTTGGAAATCGTATGTACGATATTTGACGTGGAAATTAGGTTTTTTTCCTTCCCTCAGGTGGAACAGAGGTTGCTTTTGCATTATTCTTACAGTGTCAGAACTCTTGTTATGAGCGTCTCGTTTTACTTGTACTATTGCCGCTTTCAATGATTTTCATTGCTTTGTAATTAGCTTTCAACATTGCGCAGGTCTATTTGTCATTGTACACAACTATGGAATTAATGGCTGATCTGGTTATGAACAATAATGATGTTTCATGTGACTCAGTCTCTGTCTCAAGTTTAAAGGTATGGCATTTAATTCCTGGTTCATTGTTCTGGTTCATCTTGGGAAGGGCAAAAGGCAAATTAATCAGACAGCAAGCATATCTGATTTAAGAATTCACCAATGATCATGTGCACATGTTAGCTCTGGGTATCATGTGATGCATAAACTGGCTTGCTTGTATCATTGTGAAAGTGGACTGCCCAATAGTAAATGAGAACAAATCAGGGGCTTGAAACATCCTCCGTATAGCCAAAAACTGACGTATGTCAAGCTAAAATCCCTTTTCATGCTTATCTTGTGAAACAAAATTTTGATTTCTGGTACTGGCAGTAGGCCTATTGGTGTAATCTAGGTACTGTTCTCTCCTGCACAATCGTGATGTGCACTTCAAATGTTTCTCACTGGCCTTCTCCACGCAGCTTGCTCTTGCCTACACTCAGGCAGCGTTAGGTGGAAAGCTCACCAACGCAAGAGGCAGTGTGGTTCAGTCCATTTTTATAGGTTCACTTCGGAAACGGTTGGAAGATCTCTTCCAATGTTCTCGGCATTTGAGTGATGATTTGCATAGTTACTTGAAACTGGGAAGGTGGCCCGCTGACGGATCTGATGGAAAGAGAAGGTCGATAATCCTTTCCTGGTATCTCCAGTGGTTTGGCGTGCCTTCTCCATCTGTTGTGGAGAAAGCCGTGAAAAAAGTGAATGCAAAGTCGGTATCATCGTCTTTTTTGGTTCCATTTCTGCGGCTACTATTGCCAAGTACTCACATCAGTGCTCTCAGTGAGATAGGGAGACTTCTATGCTCCTCATGACGAGTGAGATTGGAGCATTTCTCATCAAGCCTAGGGGTTCTCATCATGAGTTGCCTCTTTTGCATTTTGTGGTTTAGCACATCGGTGCAGCATTCCACAATCATCTTCATACATAGGCAAGTAAATGACAGTCTCTGTCATTTGTGCATTCTTGGAAAGTCGAAATCGGAAGGCTGCAAAGGAAGCCCCGGTGTTCCCATTGCGCTGGAGTTTAGCGGGCAATCCATGCCACACCTGTTGTAAGATACTGGCTTTATCAGATGCTTGTATAGGAACATGAGGGAAAATCTCGTAGTTTTCCGGTTTCTTATGTATAACTTATTCTACCTTAAAAAATGTACTTGTAATTTGACAGATTTCAGTAAAGCAAAATCTTGGGTACATTCAGTTCCTACGATTGTATGGCCAGAATTAGGTTCCTAATGCATTTACTTAAACGCGAAGTCAGCTTTACTGCTTTTAATTAATACTGATTGTAAAATCCGAACTGTATTTTACACCCTGGCGATTAATTCAGTGATATTAGCAGTATCTGCAGCATTTCATTCAAAATGGGTGATGAAAAGAAAACAATTTCTTGGGCCAAAATACAAAGGGAATGAACCTAAGAAATGCTGTAAATGCTGTGCATTTGTGCGTCCATGAAAAATGTGGCGAACTTCGTGAAAATTCTCAGAGTTAAACATGATATGTCTTTGTAACTGTTACTTAGTTTTATTACCTGCATTTTAGATCAGAAATTACTAAGTCAGACCCATTTTTTTAAATCAAATATGATATTGTTATAAGTTGTTATGATCCATTATTGATACATTAATTGTAAAATATCTTTTCTCAACGGAGCGCTATGCCATTGGCCCAAAAAGTGGGAAAGAAAGAACTAGAAAGCTATGCTTCGTTTGTTAATACATTTTGAAAAGTATGTCCTTTTTGTGATAATCCAATTTGTAAAGTAAAATCGAACTATCAATATCGATGTTTAGAGTGTGTTTGGTTTTTAAGAAAAACGGTTTCCTTGAAATGATTTTCCAACTTTCATATGTTTAATTTGTACAAAAAATGAATAATTAATGGAAATGCTTCACACTCGTAGAAAACAATCGCACTTAAAATTGAGGAAAGTTATTTCTCACTTTGAAAAGACTAAATTGTTTTCCCAAGCTTCTTTTCCATATCACTCTCACACTGAATGGAAAATCATTCTCATGTAAAGTTTTATGAGCACAAAAAAATTAAGTTTGTTGATTATTTACATTTTATATTATTTTAACATCTTTCTTTAGGTTACTTTATCTTGTTAATAAGAAAATTTAAAATTCATACCACACATGTTAGTAATATTGTTTTCGATACCATCTTAATATCTTATGCTAGGAACAAAATATAATTATAGCTAAGAGAATAATCTTTAAAAATAGAGTTAATACCACAAAAAACTTTAAATTAGTACATTTGTGACAAATTTATCCTCATTTAGTTTTCGTTAAATTTTACAGTCAAATTGCAGAATTGGACGATATGTGACAATTAGCGGGTGTATCAATTTAGGGTTTTATTCTCCATTTGTCACAAGTGTACCACTTTATGATTTTTTGTAGTATTAATCCAATTAAATGAAAATTAACGGAGGGTTCTTCAGGATATTAACCTAAAATAAGATTTTTTATGCACTACCAAATAACTGAAAACTATTTCAATTTTTCTCGAAAATAATTTCTACGGAACATATATTTTTCCACGAAACAAACCTTTTTAAGCGCATTCATCGACATCACCTTGGCCTCCTTATCCACGATCCCAACCTCCTGATCGCCCGCGTCGAGCTTCGACGTCCGCCGTCTTCCTTCTCCATTCAAGCAGGTCTCTCTCTCTCTCTCTCTCTCTCTCTCTCTCTCTCTCTGTGTGTCTGTGATGGTGGATTAGGGTTTTTACGTGTCCTTGTTGATTGAGCTAAATTCACGAGCTTTGGCTGTTGGGCAAAGCTTGCGCGGAGCGATTGCGCACTCGCTTCATCTGCAGGCTCGTTGATTTCGTCGCAAGAGTCGATGAATAGGGGGTGCGTTTGAAACTCCTTTCTTTCCCTTCGCAGGTGCGGTACTTCTAAAAGGGTCAACTAAAGGGGTTGGCTTTAGATGAAACGTTGCTGATCGTAGTCCCGTAGCTATTAAAAATGGCGGCTTTTCCTTCATCGTTTTCTTATTTAGGGTTTTTCGCTTTCGGTATCCTTTTCTTTTAAAAAGGGTCATTAAAATTTTGATGGTTGGATTGAGGAGAGAGCAAAGATTGAATTAGGGTTATTTTAGTCGCGGGTCACGGGGATGTTGGAGATATTGGGCACGAAAGGATTCGCGATTCTTTGATTCGAGAAGTGCAGGAGTTTTGAGCTGCTCCGTGGCTTTGAATTTCGAAATGGTTCTAGTTTGTTTGATGTCTGAGTGTTGGATTTGTCGCGCAGGATTTGTGTTTGCCGTCTGCTTTGAAAAAACTAAGGAGATTAAGTACAGGAAAATGGCAGGAGGGAACTTTATGCACAGAGTTATCTCCTATATTGCTAATGAGATCGTTGTGAACGGTCTGGCTAATAGGTACTTACTGTTCTGTACCATCCTTTTGCCCCTCTTCATTTTTAACTTCTGTCTGTTGGTTCACCCAGTTGCTCAATAAATTTAATCCCTGAACAAAACTGTGGCTTGCTGTTGATGGTCAGACACAAAATTGCGTTGCCTTGTTAAATTGAGTTCCAGAGACTTATTATATTCTAATTTATAGAGCACACCTTACAGCTGTAGTATTTTGGTGATTGCAACTACCTCAACTTTTCTTCAATGTAACCATGGTTTATTCCATCTTTGCTTATTGTTATGGTCTCCTTGTTGTCTTGGTACGTCTCATAGCGTTAAATTTTTCATGGTCATTTGATATAATTTATGTGTAATACATTAAAGTTGTTAGTGTGTTGCAGCAAAACTGCATTTTCCCTTCCAGTGCAATTTGATTTTGACATGAGTGTGATCTATGCTGCAAGACCACAACATTGATTCTCTTTTCATGGTGTGCACATTCTATGTGAACGAGTTGGGAAATCTTATTGCTTGTGTACTCTAATGTGCTTATCGGGCCCCAACGCTGACTTCTTGCTTCGATAAGATCTGGTGATGTATTTTCTGGTTTAACAATGTGGTGGCTAAAATAATGACTTTATCTCATTTCTGTACTATCGTTGGTTGTCTTTGCAAAGCCCTGCTTTTCAAAGATTTGCAGTGAGGACATCAAAGAGATTGGAGGAGGTGTCGAATATGGGTATGTTTCTGGCTATCTGTTTTAGCAGTATTTGCGATATGACAATGTTAATTTAATTTAACAGAGACAATGCTTACTGTAACTTGTTTGCTTCTCGTATATGAATAGCTGCACAAAAAAGACGAGAAATTGCAGACAAGGTGAAGGATCTATCTGAGGAAATAGAGGTATGGTCATTGGTGAAACAAAGAAATGCATTATCGCGATTTTTTATGCTTTCAGTTTCCACTCGTGTTGTATTCTCTTATTGCAGTCACGGAGAAACCACTAAAAGGTTTGTGTTAGTGAGAAGCTCATTGGCATGGAGCGCTGCATGGATGCCCTCATCTCCTCCCTCTCTGAGTAGTTAAAAATAAGATGCTTGATGTGGAGTTAGAGGAACTTATATGTTTTATAGATATCGAATTTAGAGCCACATTGTTGCCCGAGTATTTGAAGATTGCAGTCGTTTTTCTTTTCTTTGAACCTGGATTATCTGGCAGTCGGTTCTGCAGTCACAAAAGGTCATGGCTCTGATTATAGAGAACCTGACTGTGGGAACTGCATTTGGACCTCGTTTGTACCCTGTTAAAATTCAACAATGGCTCGTTGGATCAAATGTGGTGTCTAATGTTATATTAATTGATGCCAGTTCATTGTGAAGAAGTCAGTTAGATAGAGAGATACGGCGCTTCTCCCAAATTGCAATATAAGTCTTACCAAAACCAACAATGCTTGCTTTTGATTAAGTGACTTTTCTTAATTTACTGTAAGAATAGCAATCTCTTCTAGGCTACAAAAAATAATAAATAATAAATAATTATAAATTATTGTGGGGTTTACGCCTTTAAGAATTCACGGCTCACAACATGTTATTCATAGCTGCCCAGAAGCCTAAAAATTGTTATGATAGCAAGATATCTAAAAGCTGCCCTCCTTCGGGTGGTGTTTTGAGAAACTTGGGGGTTGCTATAGCTTTGCAAAGATAATCTCGCTGTTTTTGGAATTTTTTGGCTTCTTCCCTTGACTTCTTGACTATATAGAACTGGTTTTGTCGTGCGGCTACTCACGAAATGTCATGATAACATGAAAAATGGGAAAATTCCAAATCAGTACCCAAAGTGGTGCCAAATTCTCAAAAAAGGGTTCAAAATAGACACAATCTTAAATCGGGACCCGAAGTGCCCAATTAATCTCAAATAAGGGCGCGAAGTGCCAATTAGTCTCAAACAGGTCTCGGGTTCGCCGGCCGGTCAAATCTTAACCGTAGCGAGAGCACGTTCTCGTTACAGCGACCGGAATAAGAATAATTTAGTCTTTCTTTTTCTTTTTTCGTTTTTCTGTTTTTTTCTTTTTCTTTTCCTTTTCTGTTTTTTTTTTACTCTTTTCCCTCCGTCGGCCATAGCCGGGGCCGGCGGAGCTCAGGCGGAGGCCACCCTTGCCGGCGTCGGGCGAGGGCCGCCCTCGCCTGGGCTGGGTGGGTGAGGGCGACCTCGCCAAATCCGGCGAGAGCAACCCTTGCTCTTGCCGGATCTGGCGAGGGTCGCCCTTGCCCGCCCCCGGCGAGGGCGGCCCTCGCCTGACGCCGGCGAGGGCAGCCCTGGGTTTCCCTCACCTGGGTTGCTCACTCTCTCTCTCTCTCTACTCTTAGCTTCTCTTGACGGGATCGAAGTTGGCGACGCCAATCACAGCACTGAGAGGAGCCGCCTCGCGAACAAGGATGATGCTACACATTAGCATGATCCGTTGAGTGGAAACCTAGGGCCGCCCTCATCGGCATCGGGTGAGGAAAACCCTGGGCCGCCCTTGCCCGCCTAGCCCAGGCGAGGGCGGCTTCCGCCAGCCCCGGCTATGGTCGGCAGAGGGAAAAGAGTAAAAAAAAACTGAAAAGGAAAAGGAAAAGGAAAAGGAAAAGGAAAATAAAAAAATAGAAAAAGGAAAAAAAAAGAAAAAGACTAAACTATCCTTATTTCGGTCGTCGGAACAGTAACGTGCTCGCCGGCCGGTAAGCATTTGACTGGCCGGCGAACCCAGGCCTTTTATTTGAGATTAATTGGGCACTTCGGGCCCTTATTTGAGACTAATTGGGCACTTCGGGCCCCTATTTGAGACTGTGTCCACTTTAGATCCTTTTTTGAGAATTTGGCACCATTTTAGGTACTGATTTGGAATTTTTCCTAAATTTTCTGACAGCTATAAAAATATGAATTCAGAGTTTCGATTTTTTGTTGTTCGAAAATGGTAGATTGAGATGAAACATAACCCAATTCGGCGGGTAATTCATATTGAAACGCGCATTTCTATCTTATATAGATGAAGATATTCATGACTCCGTAATTCACTATGGTATTGAATGGCGATGAATGTGTACCGTCTTCTTTTTTAATTTTTAATTTAATTTTGTCGAAAACACCTCTCTCAAAAGCCCTAAAATCAACTTCGCTCTCGTATCTCCACCTCGTCTCTATCTCCCCCTCCCTCTCCCTCTCCCTCTCCCTCTCCTTCCCCAACTCTCCCGACCTCTCCCTGTAACGTTTTTCTGATGTAGGTTACATTAATTGAGATTGTTATTACCCGCTTACGGGTCTGGTCTAATAAGGTTGAATATAAGGTTTCTTAATTAGTCGGATATGGACCCGGCTTGTGTGGGCCGAGTTCGGCCCGACCCGTTATGAGAGGGCCTGGTTGGAAACTCTATAAATAGAGCTGCAGGTTCCTCCTCTGCATAAAACTCTCTCCAATCTCTCTCAAGCGCTCTCAAACTCACCTAAGGCTTCCGTGAGCTAGCTGAGGCGGTCTCATAGCGCCGGGACTTCGGGAGTGATAGGGGAGAAGACCTACGGCACCAGTTCATCGTCATTTCCGCATCCAGGACGATGGAATCCAAATCAGGTGCACAAATTCTATCCATCTTTTTACCGTACCGTTAATATCTCGCTATGGTGATCCTAGGGCGCTCGGCCGAGCCATACGGGCCGGCCAACATGTGGTATCAAAGCCGCCATAGTCGAGAAACGGGCCGGTACTGTTCGTATGTGTTTTTATTTTTTTCATCCGTTGAATGTTAGAATAAATCACATAGATGGATAGATCGTCGCGAGACGAGTAAAATGAGTGATCGCCGACCACTGGGGGCCGCTCGCGCCGGGGCGTCGGAGAGCCCCGGCGACACACGCGCGGATGTTCCCAGCGCGTGCGTTGCACGCGCTAAGGTTTCCGCGAGCCGGGTCGATCCGGCTGACCCAACTCGACTCCGGACCCGACCCGTTGACTCGACCTAGGTCCAACCCGTTGACTCGACCCAGGGTCCGACCCGACCCAGGGTTTGACCCGTTGACCCGACCCAGGGATTGTCCGGACCCGGACCCGACCCGTTGACCGAACCGGTCAACCGGTCGGACCGGTAAGCGGTCAGACCGGTCGGTGGTCAGACCGGTTGGACCGGCTTTTTTTGCCGGCTGAAGTGCCGGCGCGTGAAGCCCACGCGCCGCGCCTTCAGGAGGCGCGTGAGGACGCGTTCGGCCTCCGTTTGAAGCGTGCAAGGTACCGGCGTGCTCGTATAAAGATTCTCTACACTGTGGTATATTTATTTTACATGTTTGATACTTTTAAGGATGTGAAAATACATATGGAACCCTATATACGCGTATTTTTAGGGTATATTTTCGTATTTTCCTGTATTTCTCTATGGTTTAAGAGATACAGATTAAAGCTTACATGTATATGATGACATAAGGACGTGTATATCATGTTTCATTGATAGTATGTATAAGGTTCGACATATATCAATGTATAGAGCAATGTAATTAGTATGGTATGTAATTTTAGAGACATTGCCCATGTCTTCCAGTCTAGAATTACATCTATATAGTATATATGAGACATAAAGTTTATATCCTTAGTATGAGAGAGTTTCAATGATTCAATTTGGTAGTGACCGCCAAAGTGGCACACTTGATTGAGTTTGAGAAATATCAGTCTCGTATTGTTAGGATGTCTCATGTTCTAATGTGTTGTCATACTCCCAAAGGAGGTGATTATATATTGATTCATGGAGGGATGCATGTACAGCATGCGTGAGGAATGACTGATCCTAGTAGTTCATACACCCAAAGGTGGTGAATTCATAAAAGATTGGAATATATTCTCATGGCTGTTGTAATGTAGAGGGTATACAATTGCATATCATGTATTCTGCCCAAAGGTGATTATATGATGATGTGTGTAACTCTCAGGAAAGTACTCACATGATGCTGATTATAGACATTGCTTGTTTTTTAACAGTCACCTTATCCATAAACGGCAACTCCATAAGTATTGAGGTTCTTATTGGTTTAAACTTTAAGAAATGGAAAGAGGATTTTCTGTTTGGTATGGAACTGGCAGATATTCATATTGCTCTCACTAAGGATAAGCCAGCAGATGTCGCTGCTGATAGTACGGATATGGAAAAAGCACTGAGTGCCGCCTGGGCAAAGAGCAATAGGATTTGCTTGTTACTGATGAAGCGATCCATTAAGGACCATTTGAAGAGTAGTTTACCAGCTGACTGCACTGCTAAAGAAATGATGGAAACCTTGCAAGCAAGGAACCGTGACTCGTCTAATGCTGATGCTGTGACATATATGCAGTTACTCAGTAATATGAGGTATGATGGTTCAAGTGGGGTTAGGGATTACGTCCTTAGGATGGTAGACCTGCAGACGAAACTAAAGGTTCATGAGATTATCCTTTCTGATGCTTTCATTGTGCATCAAGCACTGAACACACTTCCTGTTGAGTATGGAATTATAAAGACCAACTATAATTCCCAAGATAAAAAGTGGTCGGTCAATGACTTGATAGTTAGGGAGTGACAGAGGAAGAGAAACTGAAGAAAGATAAAGGGAATCTTGCTTTCTATGCCTCTAGTTCCAGTAGCAGGAAGAGTAGTAAGTTCAAGAATCGTACTCAGAAAGGAACTCTTGAAACCACCGGTCATTTAGACAATCTGGGTCCTGAGAAAACACCTTTGAAGAAGAATGATGTTCACTGCTACTTTTGTAGGAGGAAGGGTCATATGAAGAAAGACTGCAATAGATATAAAACTTGATTGTCCAAGCGTGAGCAGTCAGGTATTGATTCTTTGGCACTTATTTGTGAATTCAACTTATTAGAAGCCCCATCCAGTTCTTGGTGGCTAGATAGCGGTGTAACTAATCATGTTGCGTATACCATACAGGGATTCACAAACAGAAGGAAGCCAAATCAGGATGAATTAAAGCTCACTGTAGGAAACAACAAGAGAGTCGACGTCGAGTTCGTGGGAGATGTCATATTAATTTTGTATTCTGGTTTTAATATGATGTTAAGAAACACCTTTTATGTACCTTCCTTCAGACGGAACTTAGTTTCCGTATCAAGTTTGGATGTTTGTGGCTACTCTTTTGAAATAAAGAACAATGTGATTTTTATGTTCTTTGATTCAAATAAGGTTGGGTGCTGCAACATATCGAATGAATTGTACAGATTGTGTTTATCTCCCAATGATATATACGTCGCTTATACAGCTGAAAGGGTTGTTTCCAAAAGACCTCTACCTAAGGAACAGTCTTATGCATTGTGGCATAAACGACTTGG